CCCAGGCACTTCAAACTTGCGAGCTGACTCTCCGGAGTTCTTGTTGCGCAAAGAGAATTTGAGCAAGCCAACACCGAACCTGCTTGGTGCTTGTCCAGGTACTGACCGGCAAGCCACCAGCCGTCGCGCGCAAATCGGGCAAGGTGCGCTTCAGCTGGCAAATGGGAATGGGTTTGGCGCGCGAACTTTAAACAACTTCGGTGGTGATGTTGACAAGCTTCTTGTGGCTGCAGGAATCCGGTCTTCGCACCTTGCGCAGCAAATTCAAGTGCCGAACGCCCAGGTCGATCCTCGTGCGGAGTGGCCTGTCAGGACTGTGGAGCAGTGCGGGCATATGGCGTTATGTGCGCCGACGTGGCGGGCTCACGGCGCTTGGAATCAGGCAGCGTCTCGTCGTGCACTTGTGTCACGCGCAGCCCAGCAGGCGCCGCCCAGATGCCGCAGATGTGGGACAAGTGGCTGACGTCCTGCTCGCTCCGTCATAGCGTGTTGGCGCTGTTCGGTGGCAAGAAGACAAGCTGCTTTCAGCAAACTGTAATCCTTTGCTGGTGCCGTGCCGCTCTGGGCCACCTTTGCTCTTCCTGGACAGTTTGAGAAGTTCACCGATGTGCCTAGGTATGTGGATAGAGAGAGCGACAGATAGATACGTAAGTCCCAGAGACAGGCAGGTGTAGGTAGACAGATGCATACACGGATAGATAGAGAGATAGAGAGAGAGATGATAGGCAGTTGGATGCAATAGATGAATGGACAGATGGTTGCATGGACAGATAGTTTTATATGGATAGAAAGAAATACGATAGATAAAACCGTCACTTATATAGATAGATAGCTAGGCAAGTAGATAGCAGACAGATAGATAGATAGCTCGATAGATTGATAGAGATAGAGAGGTAAGTAGATAAATAGAAGAGAGGGAGAGAGGGACAGATAGGTAGATAGCTAGAAAAATCATAAATAGATATAGCGACTTTACAACTAGGCAAGTAGAGAAGGATAGATAGTTAAGTAGATACATGAACAGATAGGAGTCATAGCGAGGTAAGATTGTTAGATCAGCAGATGGATAAGTGGATAGCTAGATCCAGCGTTGTCGGCGAGTAGCTCTAAAGGAACTAGTAGTACTGTTGAAACGCTCAAAATTTGGGCGCGGTAGCAACACTACTAGCACTAGTAGCGCTAGTGCTACTAGTACTCGTAAAGGAAGAAGGAAGGAAAGAAAGAACGACTGCAACAAAGAAAGACAGACCGCTAGAAAGAAGGAGAGAAAGATAATCAAAAAGGAACACCGAGGAAAGCAAGATAGATACGAACAAGGACACAAATAGTATGTTCTTGTTTTTTCCGGGCTGGCTTTTTTGCCTATTGCTTTTTGGGTTGTTCGTGGCGTTTGTGGCTTTTTGGCTTTCCGCATCCTCAGCGTCACCAGTAACACCCCCAGCACCCTCGGCTTTTGGCTTTTGTGCGTTTTTGCTTTGTGGCTTTTTGGATGGGTGGCTTCCTTCGTTTTGGCTCATGGGCTTTTTGGCTTCTTGGCGTTTTGGCTGCTCAGCTTCAACCCAACCGCCCCTGCATCTTCATGAGGGCCCTTGTTTGGCTTTGTGGTCTTTGTTTGTAATGGCACTTCCTCCATCAGTGTCTGCATTTGTTTTTGTATTGGGATGCAGTCCCAAACCTATCCCAACCCCCCTGCTGCTTTCTAGGCGTGTTGTTCGGCTTTGTGAGCCTGGTTTCTAATCGCGGACTTTCTCTATTAACGCCGTTGTTTGGTTTTTATCTCTATCGGCGCTTGGTTTAGGGTGGACCCAAGGTGGGCTTAGTGGTCCAGGATGAGTCCCAGGCTGGTTTGCAGTAGCGGGCTTGGAGTTGGTGGGGTCAGGGTTTGTTTTCGGAGTGGGTGGGGGTCTAGGGTTTGATCAGAGATGGTTTTAGGATTGTGGTTGTTGCTGGTCTAGAGTGTTTTTTTTTTTGGTCGCTAGGGCGGGGTTAAGCTTTCTTCAGGGTTTCTTTAGGGTTGGCTTTGGTTTGGCTCAGCGCTAGTTTAGAGTTGTTTCGGGTTTGTTTCGGGGTCCGAAACGTTGGTTCAGGGCGGGCGTGGGCTTCTGTAGGGTTTGGCTGGGGGTTTCGGGCATCGTTCCTATAGCAAGACGACTTCAGAGACATTCGTAAAGGACGAGGATGTTGAAAACGATGCTGGAAGTTCTTGAGGGAGTGAAAACAAAAACAAGAAACAAAACCCCGAACGAAATCTGGACCAGTTGAATCCTTTTCAAAAACACACATGAATTTCGGAGAGCGGCTGTTGGTGGAGATGTGAATTGAGTACGAAAAACGCTGCGAAGCACTGTGTGCTACGGTGTTGTCTGACCATGGTAGTGCTCTGGCTAGTAAAGACACGGTTTTGCGAGCTTTGAATTCTACTTAATATCTTTATGACGCTTTACTTAGTTTCTAGTTGATACTCAACGGAATGTTACTGTCATAACTCCCGTGCTTGTTCTATCTCAATTTGGGTGTTACACATGAATTATTTTCCAGTAGAACTTTTTTGCAAATCTGCAAACACTCGAACACAATTTATTCAATATGTTTGGACGTTTGGTTGATCCGTGTGATTTCTACTTAATACCTTTAGCAAATTCTACCCATGCACTATTTGACAAAATGATTAAATAAGGCAAGTGTCCAATCATAAATTCTAGTTTAAATTTGAGTTTTTCATAGCAGTCGCCCTATTCCAAATAAAAACAATGCTGCGTCACGTGTTCTGACTTGGCGGCATAGTCTTGATTGTGTTTTGTTTGTGTTGCTTACTTTTGTACAAGAGTGTTTTCCTAAACGCAGACCATATAAACGCAAACATGCGCATCTCAGGGTGGCCTGTTTCTGAACCTCCTTTTTCTTTTTGGGTTTCATGTTAATTTGCAGGGGAGTGAGCCTGCAGTTGAATGGGATGCACTGGGTTTGGCGCCCTTTTTTGCCACAGCCGGCTCACCTCCTCTGGGGCATTGTTTTTTAGGTTTTAGGGCTCTTGGCTGCAAAATTGACTAAGTGTCCATGACACGGAGGAGCGGTTCCCGAATTTTGACACACACTCACACCAAATGAGGCCAGAAGCAATCATACTATTGTTTGAGGGAGTCGTTTCGTTTTCCGTTCCTGCAAATGTCGAGCCTTGTGACGAGCGGGTCGAACTCGAGCGCACCTGTGCGACACTGGGAGCACACGACGAGTTCATGAGTAAAGGTTGAAAATCTTCTCTCAGGGCAGATGTTTGCACGCACCAGGTATATGTCCATGCGTACTCTCAGCGACGTGATATACCCTCGGGCAAAAGTAGATAGCACAAAATCCCTCTTCTGTCTTAGCAACCCCCTTTACGTACCCCATTTACTTTTGCCCTGTCATCATAACATGTCCCGGGGCCATGCGCCGGAAAGCACATCCGGATCCGAGCTTTTGTTTCAACCAGTTTGGGCAAAGCGTAGTGGCTCGAAGGACGAAACCAACAATTTTCTCGGCTGGTCTTTGATGTGATAGCCCCGTCAGGACCTTTGTGGAGCGTTTGTTTCACAGCTTCTAGAGATTTTCAATCCATCAAACTCAAAACTGGAATGAAATGGAGGCCATGTCCCGACACATGCTCACGTTCCAGTTCAGCATCCAGCATAACATGACAAGTCCCATGTTGGAGCGCATCCTTCTATGCAAACTCCAAGCAGATTAATCCGCACATTTCGACTCCAGGGCAGAGATCCTGACATGATGTACCTGAACTGCCAGCGCCTCAGACTTGATCCGGCATGAGGTGCCTCACCGTTGCGGAATTTGGGACAAACCCCTAAGTGCGGGTCTTTGTTTTTGAAAATACCCGTTTGGGGGGAGGTTCTGAAGGGAAATGAACGGGACACCCACCGCTCGAAGATTCCCCGCCTTTTTCGGGACAAGCCCCAACTGTAGGGAGTGGTTGGTTGACTTTTCTCATGAAGTTGGATGCTGTCAACATGGCTCAAGGGAAGGGGGTCCAATTCCTTGCCATACGGTCCTAAGTCATTGCTACTGGTTTACTCCTGTGACCAAAACCGGTTTTACTTACCCCGCGAGCCCAAGCTATTCATTCAGGCTTTGTTTGGTTGTGAATGGGGGTTGTACAACTTGCAAGTTTGTTTTCAAACCACATTGATAGATATTTCGCCCCTAGCCTTCCGACCCGAGGTGAAGGTTGTGAGTACGAGGTCCTCCAACAGCTCGTTTCCACAGGACGACTTTTTCGCGTGCCGAACCGTGGCTGGACCGGGTGGCTGGAAAGATATGGGCGCAGTCAACAGACCCGTTTACTTGCGTAGTGATGGTGGCCTTGATCGGGGTTTAGAGAACAAAAGCAAGTAGTGACGTCAATGAACGATTTATTCCCTTGTAAATTAACATGGAACCCGAAAAGGGGGGGTTCGCCCAAGAGGAGAGTCCTCTACAAATTCGTGTTTTTGGGTTCCATGTGAATCTCCAGGAGAGGAAGCGGGGGTCAAACAGCACAAATTGGTTTGTGATGATGGTGCCTTTCTTTGGCAGGGCCAACTTTGCTTCACAGGTGTGCAACCTGAATAGATGGCATAACCCAGATTGAGCCACCAAGGCAACCACTTTGCGGGCAATCTGGAAAAAAGAGTTGGACATTGGCGCAAATCGCGTTGTGATTCCTTCCCAGCTCAACTTTCTATTATGTACAGGAGTTGTGATGTATGTTGCTTGGACCTTGGGGAGTGTGGCGTGATATCTTGTTGCGTGAGTCAGGTCCGATATTGTTCTGAAACGGATCAGGTTCTTGAATGGGTATGTGTGAACACCAGGGAGTATGTTGTTGTTGCGAACGGGCGGACAAAGACGCCGGAAAGCGGCCTGTGTTCACACGGACACAATATGTATGCGTCTTTGCTGTATTCATCCGGGTAGCATTTCAGCACGTGAAAACGTATGCTTTGGCGAGGACACTTTGCATCCGCAGCTAATTTGCCCTTAGCCCAGCAAGCCCTTCACAAAGCTTTCTCGCAACTTGACATGGGAGCCGCAATCGGAGCGCTTGCGGTTGAGGAGATCCTTCTCGGAACGCTTCTCGGAACGCTTCTCGGGCTTGGCTTCAGCTTCGGCGTTGCTGCTGCGTTTGAACTTGCAATGCAGAGCTGTTCTTGCGGCGATGCGCCCGACATCGTTCAGAGCGACGTTGTGAAATTCAAGGTGACAGACAACTCCGAGATTTCAGCATCGTCCTTGATGTCAGCTACGCTATGTGGGACAGCAGTTCAAAATCAGACGGTGCCTTACACATTTTCCTTCCTCATTGGCAAAGGACTGTCAGATGGAAGGCCAATGTATCACGCAGGACTTTTGCTGGGTGGCAGTTTTGATGTGAGCGGTGAGGCCTACAAGTACGCGTTTGCCGAGCGTTGGAACGGTTCGGTGTTGGTCACCTTCTCCAAGGACAAGCACCAGGTCCTGAGTCGGCTCAAGCAAATTTGGGTGGGAGGAGTTCTTCTCGATGACTGCAAGGAAACACCGGAGTTTGGATCTGTGTCACCCGCACCTGACATGGTGACATTTGTCCATGAAGAGCTCGCGCGAAAACTGAGCACCCGCAATTTCAAGAGTCCCGAAGACCTGGCCAAGAATTTGAAGTACACCAACTGTATTGCCTTTGCAATGCGTGCAGGGCTTCTGCTCGCAGGGTATAGCGAAAAGCAGGACTTTGTCGACACTTGCATGACAGCAATCCAGGGCTGAGTGATTTGTGCTGGCATTCATCATTGCATTCAGGGCTAGTAGCCCTAATTAGCCTAATAAGTTGCCGTTGATGCAGGCAAGTGAGTCGCCATAGGAGTCACTCATTGCAGCATCCGACGTGCATTGATTCCGAGCACGGAGTAAAAATGAAGCAAGGACAACGTCACAGCCTCAAGGTCCTTTCGATAGAATCTATTACCATGTCCGTAATTCAGTATGCCCTCCCGCTCGCAGGGCCTATAGAAGAGGTGTAGCTGTGGATGCCTTCTTTGCAGACACAATAAATCAGGATCCAGTCGCGCCTGCTTGCATGTTTCACAGGCGTGCTCTGACCCTTGAAAAGATGACAAGGCTGGACGCTTGGTTTGGCTTCCTTAGCTTCCCTCCAGGGACAGAATCCTACCCTGCCATCTTTGGAGCAACCTTGTTTCATGTGTGCCATGCTAAAAAAAGAAAGCACCTTCATTTGAGGTTGCTAGAACTAGTCATCCGCCTCAGCATTCTTCACCATTTCCATGACTCCAATTCACAAACACATCACCCAGCCAAGCCAAAGGAGATTTGACCACTGAGAATCCGCTTCCAGCCAAGCCTCCGCCGCTCCTCGTCCGCTTCCAGGATGGCTCTCGCGCATCCCTCGCTTGGCCGGGGACCCTGACCTGAGGACATCCGCGGACATCCAAGGAGCTGCGATGGTTCTCGAAAAGGGCCCCTGGAAGGAGACGAATTCCAAATGGCCTTGAACCAAAAACAAGGCCGTTCGGCAAGAAATGGGTGATTGCAACCCACAAGTGTGGTTGATTTCCCATCCCTCAAACTGCCCGACTACCAATAGGTTCTTTCCCCGCGTGGTTTGGGTTGCCAGAACCCATTTGCTTGCGGGCAGTTTGAGGATTCCAGCTCCTTCGTCCCCGAAATTGCGCCGGTGTGACGTCTGAGGCCATATTCTGGCACGCTGGCGGTGCTCCATGGCTCCTCCGCCGCGGCTTGAACTTGAATCGGCTGAAACTTGCGATCGCTGCGAGAGGGCTGCTGACGACGCGTCCGGGCGTTGTTTTTGTTTTTTGTTTATTCGGGAACCCCCGGTTTTGGGGGTTCCCGAATATGGGAAACCATGGGAGGGATGGTGTGTGTTGGGGTCATTCCCACTCACTTCCTGCCTGTCGAACCAGCAAGGAAATCGAAAATGGAAATGCAAAGGAAAGTTCAAGGGGAAACGCGAGGGAAACTCAAGGGAAAACCATGCCCCATTGTGGGTTCCCCTATTTTGGATCCAAGCACGAGGTGTGGTTCACCAGAAGGAAGGATAAATCCATTCTGGTCACTGCACCCGCTTGCATCTACTCAGTACTCCTTGGGTTTGGGAGATCATCCTGCGCAATGTGTTGTTTGCACAGGCTGTTGGATGTGCCGTTTCTTTGATCGCTCGCATCTTGTCCAAATCATATTCCCACCAAAACTGGCCCTGGGGATCTAGCGAGGATTTGGACAAATTCTTGAAGACATGTCGCCAGTGTTGTTCACAGCTTGGCCATGTCGTGATCGATTCGCTCGCATCATAGTGGGTAAGACCAACTCACAATGTGTAGGTCATTTATAATCGTTGCTTTCATTTCGTATCTCAGGTTTAGGAATTCAACTGGGTCCCCCAGTAGTGCCCTTTTTACCTTTTTTTGGGGGGAGGGTGCCCCTACTAAAATAGACAACATAAAAAAGGTACCCCATTCTAACCTCCCTACTGGAGGACCTAGCCAAGTAGGGATTGCAGTTTGCAGATACAGTACACTTCCCCACCAAAACCGTGAGACTCTTCTGCCTGCCTCATGCCTTGCTCAGGCCGAGTCCCAAGAGGCCCAACACATGAAGAAATGATTTGCATATGCCTGCAGAATTCTAATGTGAATAATGCACTATATACAGCGGTGGTAAATGTTATATGTGTATAGTATGTGTATATAGGTCCACACGTATACATGCAGATATGTAAAGTTTTACGTGTAGCTGCCATATGTGCCACAGTCTAAAGATTGCTTTACATGAGTTTGGTGATGGTTCTGACTTTGTTGGGGAGCTTAGACCATAGGATCCTAATTTGAGTGTTCTGCCAAGTTAGTAAGTTGCTGGCAGCCTAGGTTCTATCTCACTTACAACTCACCCGTTCAGGGATGAACCTTGTTAGGGGGTGAAACATGCCAAGTGGCTGACCACAGACACGAACTTGGAACAGTCCACAACCTTGGTTATAGCCGACAACCTACCCTCCCATCCGCAAACATGAAACCCCCCAGAGGGTCCACTTGGGAACATGGTCTTTCAGGAGCCTTCAGGTTCCATGTCAGTGGATGGGAGGGTACTTGGTTAAAGATCCAATAGGCTCCTTGTGTGCGGGAAACCAAAAGGCCCACCGTGGGGCCCCCTCCAAGGATCCAGAGGAACCTTGAACCAGGTCAACACAAAGATTTCAGCTGCAGCCTCAACACAAACCCCAGCTGCAGCCAGGTCAAGAAAGACCTTGGACAGGTCAGGGGGGTCAGCCCTCCAAGGGAGCCTGGGCCAGTAGGCCAGTGGGCCAGTGGGCCAGTGACCCCAGTGGGCCAGGGCCTCCCGGTGCGAGCTGGACCGACAACTGCGGCGAAGCCACAGGCGCCCCATGGGCGTGGCTGGGAGGAATCCACCGGATCTCACCGGTTGGTTGTCCAAATTTTGGTGTTCGTATCTTTATATGTATATATATATATATATGTATATATGTATATATAAAGATACGAACACCAAAAATACCTACCTTTTTTGGGGGCCCCAAAAGGTGATCACCTTGTATTTCCAGGTCCCGAACTAGGCCACTGTGTGCGAGCAAGCTCACTGTTTCGGGTTTTGGACATACCTTGGATTTAGTTGTCAAGGGCGCAAGTGGATTCCTGGACGGCCACCCGCTGTTTGTTTTGTGGGATTGGGGCCCTCTGCGGCTTTTGGCCACGCGATCGAGCCAAGGAAGCAGGGTATGGGTCCACGGTGTGTGTGTGTGTGTGCGCGTGTATTTGTCGAGGGTACCCTGCTTGGGTCAATCCATGTCAATCCCCCAATTCTGACCACCCAAAGCAGTACTGTGTCGGTGATGAACTCTGCTGGGGACCACTTCGTTTTGGTGTTGGGTTTCATTCCCGCGGTTTGTGGAATACCTGCCAACATCAGCCGAACTGAGCAAGCTCGGCGATGAGGGTGGAAACGGAGCTCACAGCTCACATTATGGGGTTTCGAAGACTTCTACGTTGAATTATGAGTGCTTGGTCCGGACAAAATACATACCAGGACCCCCCCAACGGCTATGAAATAGTGAAGTGTCCTTCTTAGGGCTACGCCACTGCAATTTAGGCCTGGCACGCAGACATAGTTGCAAACATCAAAGTGCGGTTTTTAAGGGCTTGTGCCTTCGCTTCTGTGCTTGCTGGTATGTTGCCAGGGTTACCTTTGTCATGGTTTCAATTATAGTCAGCTGCTTGTCGGGAGCCGCAAGACAAGGCGTAGGAAGACGATGGCCCTCGGTCCTTTATGGCCGCTTATCACTTTTTTGGCAGCATTGACTCCCCGTGTACCAAAATTAATGGGAGTCTCTGAAGAAATATATAGTTGTTTGTTGAACTCAGGAAAGGGTACATACAGAAAGGGTAACTCGGACAATCGAAAGACTCCATTGTTCAAGCACCTCAAGGGTACCTTTACACACCTACACCCACATATATGACCCTTGCAGTTCCTTGGGTCTCCCTGGAGTTCCTTCAGATTGATGTACCGTAGATGGTCTGGGACTTTGCCAAGTGTTTAGCCCCACTTAGTTGACTTGCCTTGCTGGTGCGAGGTAGGGAATGTGGGAATGAACTCAGGGATTTCCTTAAAGGAAACCACAAGAGATGGTTCATACGGGTCATTCCCGCAAGCCCTGCTGAGCACCAGCAAGTTACAGTGGTAAGTGGCTTAGAGCCATGCTTATTGAAGTTCCGAATGTTTCCAAGGAACCATGGCTGTAACCCTCCTACCATAAGTCCCCTAAGTGGATAGCCCGGTCCAAGCATTTCGCCAAGTCCCGAATTCATCGAGCAGTTCCCTGGAGTTTCATTGGCGCTCAGAAATCCGCGCCGTCAGGATGGTGCGGGCCGTCCAAAGCGTGGAGTCTGCTCTCCCAGTGCGAATTCGCAAACTGGTGCAAGATCACGGGGGCCTTGTCAAAATGGGTGTCTTTTTTGGTTGAGTTGAGAGTGGCAAGACCCTCACACTAGCCCAAAATTTAATTTTTTGCCCCAAGATTATGGGGGTGAGTTCCCTTTTCCAAGGGTTTGAGGGCCCAGGTACCCTTTTTGGAGGATGATTAAAGGGAAACCAAAAGGACAACTACCATTTTAGGGGTTTCTCTTTTGAGACAGACCCAAATGATATCAAAGAGGAGGGTTGTGGGAATCTCACTCCCTGAGTTTATGGACTTTACTCAGTTTTTGGGTTTGGACCATTTTGGTGATGAACAACAAGTTCGAACGTGTTTTGGCCAATCCTCTCGGGACATGAGGAATGCAAATTGCCACTGTGTTTCATTTGGCAGCCTTCCAATGATGAATTCAATGGGGGGAAAGTCATACATCAAGCCCTTTGCGAGTGAGGCTTTGGTCTTCACATCGCTTACCCTTGGGGGACATCTTTGGCCGAGGCGCGACGTGTGTCTTTTGGGCCGACTTTGGAAGTGGTGCTTGTCTGAGTATCGTGGCGCAAGTCATGAACTTCAATTTCGATTCGGCATGGCTTACTAGTCACCCCAACAGGGCACCTAATCTTTAGGATCCTTCGGAACTGGCGCACCTTATTCTTTTTATTTGTTTTGCAAAAGGCAAAATATGGCCTCCAGGGTGCACAGGGCTTGGAGATGGTTCGCAAGATCCCAGTTCTGGCCATGGGTCCGTGCCTTTCGTCTCGCAGGTGTGTAGCCGAAGGAGTCAGCAGGGTGCCAAGCCAGCAGGCGTTGGGACAGGAAGAGGCCGTGTTTTCTTGGCGGCTCCCAGCCATCCCCTTAGCTTTTTTAGCCTTTTAGTGTTTAGTGGTAGTTTCCACTTAACCGCCAAACAGTTAAACTTTTAGCGGGGGATCTGAGGGCAGCCCGGTTTTGTCATATGTTCTTTGAGTGCTTCTGTGTGTGTATTGCAGTAATTTTACAAATTGGAATCATGTGGATTGGATCATGCTGGCGACCGCAGATTTGAATGGCCTCGAACTGGTCGTGTTTTTTCTCCCTCTCCTGGGCTGGACATGGGAAGAGGCA